AGGCATCGATCCCGACCCTGGGTGATAACGACGGCCGGGAGTTGAAGGGCACGTGAGAGGCGCGTCAAAGAAGCCACGTCAAAGCGGAAATGCAGGATTGCATCGGCGTCGTTCATCGAGTCGAGGTCGAGGCGCGTGTCCGGAACCAACGGCCGCTCAATAACCGAGAGGAGCAGCTCGAGGAACTGACGGCGGCGGTGACGAGACATCCGGCGACTGCGGCGAAGCAGCACCGCAAGCTCGCGGGACGACAACATCGTTTATGATTAGGTTAGGCTATCGCAGCAGTAGCACAAGACCAAACAAGGATGGAATTCTTCTGAATTTTTTGCGAAATCAAGGTTGATGTAGCTCCCGTCTTCGTCTGCATTCGAATGCCGACGGAGACGGGATGTCCTGTGCGAAATCACAATTTTTACTTTTTGCGTCCCGTCTCCCTCCACATAAAATAAAACGCAGACGGAAACGGGAAGTCAGTTGCGAAATCTCTCTACTGTAGAGTGAGTTTGATGGATCGGGATGTCATAGTATATCGGCAATCGACGCCGTCGCTCATTGCCGCGCGGTTTTAACGGACCAAGGGTGGTCCCAGACGAGAAAAATGAAAGTTGGTCTCATTATTGGAAGTGCTGTCACATGATGGACAATTTACTTGAATTTGTTTAAATTAAGCGCACGCTTTGCGAGTCTTACCGCTGGTGTGATCCGGTATTATCATACCAGCGGCAAGACGCACTCGCGAAGCGAGAGCAACCCGCCGCAGCGACCTCATCGACGGAGGCCAACTCGACTCATGGCGAAGGCGTCAAAGATGCTCTGGGAGAACTAGGTGACCCAGATGCGTTGAAGACTGCAGCAAGCGACGACGGCACGTTGGCCCGGAAAAGTCTGCACACCGCAGCGCAGCGAAAGTCGCGCGTTGACTTTTGTCTCGGCCAACGCGCCGTCGTCGCAAATACTGGTAAAAATGCTTCGCATTCAAATGTTTCTACCAGCTCATCCCACGCGCTACGCGGGACCTGTTATGTCACGTGCCACTGTTCACACTGTAGGTGTGCGAGAGTAGTTCACGCCGTGAAAAATATGCAATAGTGTTAAATAATACATCTTTCAAGTGATTTACATATACTACAACACTATTAAATGTGAAGTGCTTTCTGATGGCTGCCATTTCTGTGGTTGCCTTGAGCAAGGGACCTCATAACATGCCACCAGTGAGTGCCTCGCCACGCACTAAGCGAGTTCAACGGGCAGCTTGGACCGGCACCAACCGCAGCAAGGCATTTTCTGTGCCCCAGCAAGAACCAGTCGCTGCGTCGCCGGCCCCTACCAAACAAGAAAAGGTCGTAGCAAAGCGAACGATGGCCCCTACCCAGCTGGAGGAGGTCGCGCCAAAGCGGAAGAATTCAAAAACCGATGACGGGGTACTGTCGGAACCTGTATTTTACAACGATTCACGGAGTGCTCTCAAGAGTCGCAGCAACACGAGCGAGAGCAAGACGGAGCTCCACAACCATCGCGACGACAATAAGGCCGATGACACCCGCGGCGACAAGGTTCCTCGTCTTCAGCTTCATGCATACCTCTAACATGACCACGGCCTCAATAGGGCGACCCGATGCCAAAGCACAGCATGTCGCTGTCCCAAGGCGCCCAAGGCCAACACGATGCAGCGGTCGACTTGTTCAACAATTTCCTGCGCTCTACGAATCAGTCGTGGCAGCAGTATTTGCTTGCAGCACCCGCGCCATCGCCCACGATGCACCGCGGGCCCAGCTTCGTCGAGGCATTCGGAAACAAGTTTCTATCCAAGGAAGAGTTCCAAACGGCGCTCCGTCAGTTCAATGCGCTCGCAGCCCCATTGTCCTTAGTCATAAACAGCACGCGGTACCTCAAGTGCAGCCGAGGAGCCAACAAGCAACGATACGCATCCGCTCCAGATTGTCCTGCCGGCGTCAAGTGCGACATCGTCCAAGGTCAATACTACCTCGGTGTCGAGTGCGTAGACCATACGCACGATGTCCCGGAGCGACTAGCGCCCATCGTTCTTCTGCGATATCAACGAAACAACGAGGACGCGGCTACCATCGCGCCCGAGGCCACCGTGGTGCCCGTGCCCACGGACACGCTCGAGCCCACGGTCCCACCTGCACGTACCGACATGCTCGAGGCCGAGTTGATACGTGCGGTCCTGACCACACCACTCTATCTCATCCATACTGTCATAGGCGAGAGGCACAGGGTCATGCGTACGGTGCACGAACTGGAAATGCGTCTTGCTCTATCCCTTCTCGATCGCTGCCTCGAGCACGACACGGAGACGGGCTGGAAGCAGGAAGCGGAGCAGCACGCTGAAATTCGCGCGCGCGTCGACCAAGAAAACGAGTTTCTGCGCAAGACGCTCATGGAGCAAATGAAGTTCATCCAGCGGCTCCAAGACTACTTTACCAAGCAGCCGCTCCTCAACGCGCCGTCGCTCAACAAGATGCTGACGACCGCGCCGTCGTCGAGCG